CTTTCAAAGTCATATAAATCTGTTGTTGCGACGGAGAACTTTTCTCTAAGAATTGTTCTTCACAGGACTTACAAAAATGGCCGTTTTTCAGCAACTCCTGAGTTTTGCTGCAAATGCGCTTTTAATTCTTTCTGTTTTTCTTTTCATAGCATTTCTCGGTTATTGCATGTATATCAAATACATCCACATGAAATATGACCACATACCCGGACCACCCAGAGACAGGTAAAGGTGTTGTTAGTAGGATAAAGTTTGTTAAAATGTACCAACATTCATGTATTTTTTTTTTCCTAAGTTTCCTTTTTGGACATTCACCAATACTTTTGAAAATTATGAAGAATGATGGAAATGTGCATGAGAAGTTCCTTGAATGGTAAGTTGTGCAACAGAAAAACATTTTGTCTTTTTAGATATTTCTGAAGATTGATGCATAAAGGCTGTTTGCATATTTCAGAGTTGGTTTGTGAGTCTTTACATAACACTTGAATCAGTCTGCTCAGTTTGTCTAAATCACGTGTCAAACTCAAGGCCCACGGGCCGAATGTGGTCCACCATGGCATTCTATGTGGCCCGCAAAAGCTTGAAAGATATATTATTGTCTTGAAATAAGGAAATAATGCTTAAAGCCAGCATTGATCATAAACTACATCTCCCATAATGCATGCTGATTATTTTACCTGCAAAATGATAGTATGTCACCACTAGATGGAGGTGCACAGGGTTTGAAAGCTGACAACAGATTAAATTCACCTTGTAAAATCTCCATATCACTGCGCTTTCACAAGCTGCTTTAACCGCAGCCCAGTTGTACTCTTAAAGAGTAGGCGTGTGTGTGTGTGTGTGTGTGTTGGATTTATTTTAATCTGTTCAACACAATAAGGGGCAAGGCCATTCTGTGACTCCTCTCCTGTAACGTCAGAACAGCCTCTTTCACAAGACAGTTCCACAAAATCGCTGCACAGACCAGTCCAGCTTTAATCCCATAAGCTCACTTATAAATAAGGCTTCTGGTTCTACAGTGTCAAGCTATATGCATGTAAATGCACCAAGCAGCCATTTCTCTGTTAGTTATTAATTACTCAACACGCCACAAACACCAACCCCCATAATACCTTAAACTGAAGTACCTAAAGATTATACCCTAACCAGGTGGCCCTTGGTGAAAATGAGTTGGACACCTCTGCTCTAAATGCATCAGACTTGCAACTCTAGTAGATGTTTTATTTTTAACAATTAAGATTTCHAAATAAAATCACTGTATTTACAGGTTTGAGACTTACGGGCCTGTTTACAGGCTAAATGGTCTACATCAGGTTACTGTTTATGTGACCTGTCCAGAAGGAACCAAGGTAAACACCTGCTTAAAAAAAAACATCAAAATGCACACACAACAGAGGTGTTAGAAATTTAAGTTTTGCAAAAACAAAAATGAACAAAAAAAAGTCCCTCCACTAGGTTGACTAGTAATTGTCATTGYGTAAYTTTTTATTGGTTCTKGTTCTAGGAAATCCTGATGTCACCAAAGTATCTCAAGGAGAAGTTTGTCTACAACAGACTCTTCAAAATGTTTGGTGTAAGGTAGCTATCAGACTGTTTAGGTATTGATTCAGTTTGACTAAACTGTCATTCAGACACATCAGACATGGAAGAATAAAATGTGTTCCGGTGGCCAAGAACAAACAAAAAAAAAGAGAGACCTGAGTACCTAGAATCCCATGGAACAGAAAGTCCAGAGTGCAGATAATGGGACTTTGTGGAAAAATGTAGTTCCTCAGTCTTGCTGTTCTTTGCTTTATGGCTGT